TTTAATTAAAATTAATTTTGATAAGAATAATTTTGACCGTAGGAAAGGAAGGAGTCGGTATTGAAGGAAAAGAAGGTATCGATCGAATTACGTAAAAGGGATTGAAGAGGAGTAAACGATTTTTATGTAACTACTACGTCGAGCTCGACCTGATAAACTTCCTATTGCATCCTCTGAATGGCAGGCGCACACGTTCTTTCGTTCGACGTATTGCGAGTTGAGAAGGGAAGCGAACACTTGTTACGCACATTGTCTCTGAATTTGGCTCGGCCATGGCCACGAACGATTGACTTCGATTCATGAATCGATTATGCGAATCTGATCGGTCGCACGATGATGACAAACAAGTAGTCGATTGGGCTCACGTGTCGTCTCTACTGACCGATATAATGGCGGTTAAGAAAATTTATCGTAATATAATTGATCAACTTTTCGAATCATCGTTTATATGTTTAAGTTTTTTTTTTTTTCATTATTTAAATTCTGCTTGGTAAAAATAATTTTAAAGTTTAATAATAATTGTAAAGGAAGAATGGTGGAGGTAATGTATAAATGATTTTAAATTTTTAATCTTATTTTAGCATTTTAACGAATAAAATATCTAAGTAATCAATCATCGATTACCTTTTCAGTATTATAATAAATCGCAACGTAATAATTGTGGATTTGACTGAGAGGATTTTTTGGCAGTGTAACGAAGTTTTATCACGTAGAAATTACACGTCCAGACGTCTTGGCTATTTTTAAAAATCTATATTCTCGATTATATTCCGTTCTTCTAATTCTTTTGATTTATTCCAACTTGCGAACCAAATTAATTACCAATTATTCCTAACGAGTTTTAGATTCGATGAATCGTAAGTCATAAAGATTGCTTGCCAAAATTCGGGACAAGATTTTACCAGTGCCATTTTCTAATTACAGAAGATAGCGTGCATCATCACAACAGATTTCTTCGGATTCCCTGGCTACTTTTCCACCTCTCTTTCGTTAAATTTCAAGAGAAACTGGGAAACACGCCTGTTATTTTGGTTGGTATAGCTCTTTGTTTCTCGTCGTAATCGCCCAACTATCCACCAGAGAAGCCTCCGCGACGATGAACGTCGGTCTGTGATCAAGAATAATGGTCCGCGAAGGAAAAGCAAGGAAAGAATGCGAAGAAAGGGGCCTTTTCTTGGAACGCTATTTTCGTTGGATCAGTTGGATGAGCAAGAAAACAAAGGAGAAGAAGAAATGGAACCACATCCTTGCTAAAGGATACGGAGTAACTAATATTTCAAAAAATCTATATATTGTACAAAAAAAAAAAAACGAACTTAATTTTCGAAAAAAAAAAAAAGGATATTTACAAAGAGAAACAAAAATATTGTTAAAAAGAGCGTAACGTAAACAAAATGTTCACAACATAGTTAAAAAAAAAAAAAGAAAAAAAATAGAATCTTATAAAATTCTTTTTCAGGATGAAACTCAAAAAGTATCTTTGGAAAGGAGAAAAATGATTTTTGCGAGAGAGAGAGAAAAAAAAATGATCTGTCACCGATAGATGTCTTAAGAAAAAGAAACAGAAAAGAAAGTAGTGAAAAAGTGAGAGAGAGAGAGAGAGAGAGAGAGCTTACCGTGGAGCACCAGTCATCAATGAACTGTGATTGGAGAAAGGCCCCCCATAGTAATAGGGTAAACCGTCACCGTAGTAAGGCATTGTATTATCCAATGGATTCACGTGTACGGAAGAGCTTGTCGAGGAGCTGAAGTTTCGACGAGGGAGCACGAAACGGAGTCACGTCCTCCGCAGACACGAGCGGTTCGACGCTCTCGAAGACGACTGAGCGCGGCACGGATCGCCGGCGTTCGTTCTCAGGTGTTCGACGAGGCGTTCTCACGGTTCAGGGAGCCAACATCGACTGAGTCTAAGCGAGCGACCCGGTGTAATAATAGAAGTCTAGTATATGAGGCTTCCTAGCATCTAACTATACTAGCTGGACTCTAATAACCCGTGCAACGTCTCAAGCATTGCTTCCCTACGAATATTTGCCGAATTGTAACATTTACGTGAGTCAGAGCTTGGATCGGTTTGTATCTGTCGATTCTAAAAGACATGGTCACTTATCATTATTATTGTTACTTTAACGAGATTCTTTCCACTTGAATTATATGTGTACAAGTAAAATATTAAAATATTATTTAAAAGAAACGTTAGAAACGATGAATCTCGTGGATCTTTTTGTTTCAAAACATTCGCAATTAAAAAGAATTAAATTATAGCTTGATTAGAAACACTTTGTCACTGTCACTGCTGTTAAACACACAACACAACGTGCGACGAGTTTGAAAGGATACGTTGTGAAAAATACCAGAAAACTTGCAATTATCGAAGCTTGTGGCGCATGCATGTCAACCGTGTAAAACGCGCATTTACGTGTCAACGGAGTCACGGTTTCACGTTGTTTTGTATTCAAGCATTGAGTTCCGCGCCAAATGTTTCTTTTCTCGGTGCCTATTGTTGCTTGTTCAGAGAATCATAGAAATAGCCAACGAATGGCGAACGGATACTATTTCAAACCGGACGAATAATTTTAACTTGGAAAATTAAAATTATTAAAATATTAAAATATTACAAAAATGTAAAATTTTAGAAAAATTGTATATAAATATGTATGAATTTAGATGGACGTTATGCCGTTTTTAAAAAAATTTTGAATTCAAGGTGCATCAAGAATGAAATGGATGTGATAGAAGATTGAGCTTTTTACATACCGTCACATCTGACACCTTGTCGAAAAAAGCCGTACAACATGGAACCACAATGATCGCAAAACGTCGGCGACATAAATGTGTGAAGCCGAAATCTGTGAGGCACATCTACCTTGAAACGCTCCCTCAAGTACTGCACAATATTGAACAAGTATTAACAGAATTAGACCGATTCTGCGTGGGACTAGGTATTGCGTTACTCCTGACAAATAGCATAGTGAGTAGTAGCATATAGAGTGAGCTATCATCGACAATACTTTTTGTAAAAATAAATATTGAACGATTTAAACAAAAATGTATAAAAAATACATGTGTAATAATTTGCAGATACATTTGTGAATTCTTTCTTAATTGTTGGAAGAGCCGGATGTTTTCAAAAACATTCATAATTTGGTGAAACCTAGTCTTGCATCATAAAGTAAATATATACACATAAAATTTTGAGGTTCAAAAATAAACATAAATTTTAACACATACGAGGATAATGTTAGAAACAATCTTGTTTTCCACACAGTCAAATATCTGGATGGGTTACGCATCATTGAGTAAACAATCAAACATAGTTTATTCGAGTTCTGCATTAAACTTGTACCAAGAAACATGGCCGGTTCTCGTTAAAAGAAATGGATACTGATCGTGATATATTTTAAACAAAAATTTGATGCTTATTCGTTGAAATTCGGAACAAGAACGGAAATTGGAGAATTGATAAAGCAAACACTTACTATCGTGTTCTCGGATTGCCTTCCACTTTCCGGGCACTTGGTTAACAATTTATCATGGCACTTCTTATGCACCGCTGTTTGGCAGGCTAAAACGTAGGATAGAATATTAATAGAAATGCAACGTGGTACAGACAGAAAAATCGCAGTTAAATCGCGATTTAATATTTACCTTGGCACTGGTATCCTTGCTTTCCAAAGCCCCTATGACACAGAGTACACTTTAGATTAATTAGGGAAATATAATCAAGGAAATCGTTGGCCGATATTTGAATAATGTGCCTGAAAAATGCAATCGAAACTATTTTTAGATAAACTGAGCGTACATTAAAACAGCCATCTTTTATGATAAATCAAGATTGTTTTTCGATTCTTATATCATCGGAATGTTCTTGATAAAATATTTATCGTTTTATTATATCATTTTATTCCTTTTTAAAAACAAATCTTTATCTATTTAATCTCTCATATATACTTATTTTATTTATTATATTTATTTTATTTTTTTTTTTTAGGAAGTTTACCAAAGAAAATCCTTGCAAAAAGCGCAGAATGTTGGTTGTCTGAAGAATTTTGCAACTAATTTGTGACCTCGAACCACATGCACCTTGTTGTGTTTCACTGCGCCTCTTCTTTTTGTAATTGCTCCCCCACCGACGTTATTCACATCGCGTGGAGAAGATGCAACTACAATGTCCCTTCGGGGAACCCTGGTTTTGTATACGTACGTTTTCCCTATAGAGCTTGCTGGTGGAAGATCCGTTGGGTTTAGTATTGGAATTCTAGTCCTGGAATCACCATACATTGTCCTCTTTTTTTTTTTAATTCAAGTCAAAATTTCTTTCAATGGATGAACGTTTCACGTTTATGCATATTTATGTTATGCATATCATATGTTTTGTTTAATTTGTTTCCAATAGAAAATCCTAAATTATTTTTGTTGATAATACTTTTAATTATTCGATTGAAGGAGATAATTAAAAGAGAATTCGTTCATTCAATTTTATATTTACAATTATATTAATGAAATACTAATTAAAAATATTATAAATAATTTTTTGCTAAATTTCATTAATTAGAGAAAGCTAACACTTCGACTCGACATTTAACATTTAACAAATTTTACCTACCGAGTGGCTCACCTGTAAGTGTACCCTTCCGCGCTCACATGAATTTGTGGACTTTTACGATCCGCAGACTTCCGGGCAGAACCACTACCAGCGTTACGCTTTTTCGCATGGGCACCAGCGGTAAACATCATTTTCCTATTCACTTTCTTTACCTTCTCTCACTTAATGGCGATTCGATCAAGTTTTTCCAGATGATAAACACAAACACTAATGAATTCCGTGTGCCCGACCGACGATGCTATCTTTTTAATTTCCCGCCTTGTGAGGCTTGAATTCCAAAACATATCGCCGCGTAATGCCAGAAGAATTTTCGCTCATCGGCCAGCAACATCTTCATCTCGGTACGCTGCGCACGAAGCATCGATGGATCAAAATTTATTGTCTCTGCTTTGGAAAAGAAACATCGAACAGTATTTATGTGTTTTTCACATTTTTAATAATATTAACGGTATAATTTGTAATAAATAGAAGATCGTCAGATCTAATCTACACAATATGGATAATTTTCAGAAGAGGACGAGAATAATTTCGAGTTTTTCGCAGAAATTTTTCAAGGATGAAGAATATAAGACACTGATTCTCTTCTGCAACCTCTTCTCATCTTCTCCGACGAGGCCATGCGTTTTCGATCAAGTGAAATTTATCATCAAATTTTATGACTAATACTCGAGCAAGAAGTGGAAGATGCCTCTTCTTTTCGATTCCCTCTTCATCCAGCACATTGATCGAACGTACGGATATGATACATTATTTCATCGGAAACGTGTCGCGACCAAAAGTAGCGCTAGCGATGTTCAAACGTCACCTATGCTTTGATCAACCGTTCACAATGTTCAAATGCCGCACTTGAGAAAATATCTTCGAATATATTTCCAGGATTGACAATTAATCCAATTCCATTTTAAATTGAATCACAAAATTGAATCAAAATCTATGGATCATCGCGTGAATATTGACGAACGTAGGAACTGGATTTTTCACGCTTAAAACGTTGTGTAGCTTTGCACGAAACTCTCGAATCTATAAATATCAGCCTGTTGAATGCCGCTCGCTCGGATTGCATAGCGCCGCACGCGGAAAATATTAGAACGCGTGATCAGGTGTTTTCCAGCCTGGAAAAACGTCCTTATTATGCTGTTAAAAGTGTATTACGTATTGTATAACCAATCCCGGATAAATTAGAAACGTATAAAGTTTGAAAACAATAAAAAATATTTGTATACTTCTGCTTGAGCTTCGCTTCGGAAAACATATAATATGTCTGGGTTTTATAATTAAATTAAAACAGATAATAAGAAAAATATCAACGAGTAAGGCTTTTTATACAAATGTCTGTATTTCTTTTCATGTAATTAACGATGTGTACAGTGAGTTCATTTCTTTATATATCAAATACAGAGAAACAATAGTTCTTCGTGATTTTTATCGTGTGGATAGCATTTTTTCTGCTAAGATTATCTTTTCTCTTTCTCTTTACTGTGCATTGCATCAAAAAGAAATTTCACGACTGATCTTTCTCATTCTTTCTTCTTGTGAAACGAATGAGAGATGTCGGTAAATATGTTTAAGCAGAAAATTAGAAAGAGAAACCGCTTCAAACACAGCCTTTTCACATGATAGACACACAGACACGACGAGGAAATCGTCCAATTCATCTTGATGCTATATACAACTAAAATAAAGTACAAATAGCTATAGATTTGATCATGGAACAACGTTTTACATTTTGTGCTCTCAACAAAGTCTTTTGTTGTTCCAATCAAATTCACAATATCTCCTCGTCGATTAATACGTATGTAGCTGTTACTTTCGCTCACAGCGGAATTACGTATAAATAACGAAATTAACAGTAACATTCTTAAAAGGTACAATATTTATATATTTATATTTATGTATATATTTATATATAGCGGACAAGGAATAGAATTCTAAATTGATAAGAATATCGCTACGATAAAAATCGAAGTGATTCTTATAAAGAGATTATCACTGAAAACTGAAAACACCGTTTATCTTCCAAGATAACAACGGTTTTATGACTGATCTGTTTGTGTGTTTGTATTATGCTTTATTAAAAATCCCTAACTAAGTTTTCTTTGAATTAAAAAAAAAAAAAAAAAAAAAAGACAACTGTTTGAAATCCGCATAAAAGAAGAATTATTAATTGGGAATGATTAGAAAATATATACCGGAAAGAATTCGATTTCATTTTTTTCGTCTTCTTTGTTTCGTCTGCCTGTAGATTTTAATATGGCATGGGATATATTATCAAGAACTTTCACAGGCAAAGAAGCGCGAATCATAGCCATAGTTCTATTGTATACGAGTTATTCTAGAAACAAATAGGACCTGATATAGATTCCCGGATTTTTTCATATATTAGCAATCTGCGTGTTGCGTAAATTTAGATGATAATTAGCGAATAGCTCGCAGGGACGACTAATCAGTTGTCAGTGCTCTGTTGCTAGTTTCTTAGGTTGTCGCTCCTGTGCGCGTTTTAACCGCTGTTGTAATAAATTATGAAGTTGTTCTACTTCCTTAGGTGCAGCTTGTACAATAAAAATTCTGATACTGCCTTGAACATCCATTGCTGTTAATCTTAATGATTTAGGTGCTGCACGTTCCGCAGTCATTCCTGGCCATATTTTTGTGTTCATAATTAATCTCTGTGTTCCTGCTGTACGTCCTACTAAACGAGATTCTTCATCACGATCGTTTAATCGCAAAGTACCTCTACCCCTTTCTTGCCAACCACCACTTGCCTGAACAGAATCGAATATTTAACATTAAGCACAAAAGCATTTAATAATTTTATTAAAAATATTTAAATTAAATATAAATATTTGTTATACATACCTTGTCAAATGCAAAAAATTTACAATTAATTTGTAGAATATTTGTCTCTCCTTCTTCACCAGTTAGTGGTGTTATTTGGCTATACTTTCTTTTGTTAGCACGATTTGCTTCTTCTAATTCCTGAGCTGCTTCTGTTAATGTTAAACCTGGTTTGGAGGTAGTACGACACGCTGCGGATGCATTTGAAAAAAGAAGTTCTGTAGAACCATTTTCATTTGTACTTTCTTCTTTTTTCTCTTCTTTTTTTTCTTCACTTTCTGTCTTTTCAGAATTTTCTGCATCATTTGCAATCATAACACGTTCTTGGAGATTCTGACCAAACACAAAGTTTGGTTCTGAGGCACAAGGTGTTACTGTAGTATTTACACTATCCTTTGTGCTTGTTCCTAACATCAAAAAAGTAGGTTTTGTTTCCTCAACTAGCTTTTTTTCACTTGTTTCTTTTACTTCATTTTGAGTTTCTTTTAATTCACTTTTAGTTTCTTCTGCTTCATTTTTATCAGTTCCTTTCTCGTTTGTGTCTTCTTTTTCTTCATTCTTTTCTTCCTTCGTTTCTGTTTTATTATTTTCTTTTGCTGTGTTATTCTTTTCATCTAAAAAATTATCTGTAATTTTTGCAAATGGATTCTGAAATTTGGCTGGTTGTAGATATACTTTAGTAGTAGGTTGATTGTTTGTCACTGTGCTCAATTGAGAAGGCCATAATGTGAAAGATCTTTTTTTTTTAACTAAGGATTTATAGGAATCACTACTTCCAAATGATGTTCCAAATTTTGAGGCAGCTAACACAGGTTTATTAGAACTAGATGGTGATTCCTGGGTATTATTTTCTGTTGATGGACTCTCCATTTCTTCTGAAATAATTTAAATTTTCTTTAAATTGCCATCTATAAACTATTATATGTGAATACTATTTAATGTTTTTACATCATAACCTATGTCTCTTACAATACAGATTATTGAAATAAAATAAAATAATTTTAATTGCATTTTTGAAAAACGAAGAAAATATAAAGAATATATATAATAGAAATAGTAAATATCATAGAATAAAAAATGATAGAAAAATTATACATTAGAAACAAAAAATAGTACTATTTACCACTGGTGGAATTTTCGGGTGAATCCCCTGGTGATTCTTGCGGTGGATCTACTTTTAAAACGTACGATGGTCTACTTGTCTCTTCTTTGTTCTCTGGATAAAATACAAAACAAACAGTTAAAATGATTGTCAAACAAAATTATGTCGTCAATCTGTTGAAATGATTACACGAATAAATATTGTTGAAATTGAAAAAATATGGAATTTAAAGAAAAATACGATTATAATAGAACAATAATTTGTATAAATTTTCAGTTATTACAATTACGTAAATACATAGAATTTATGAATAGTTTACTGTACAAGAGAATCACAAAACGCACCCTTGCAGTCCGCCATTTTTTACGTGGAAGTGATCAAGTGTCGCCATCTAGTCATATTATTAGAAAATAAAAAAATCTCTCTAAATACTATTATATGTAATCCACACAATATTTTATATATATATATTTAAAAAATTTTTTTCAGATATAAGAATTGATAATTTTTAATTATTATAAAATTTTGTTTTATTTAATTTAGTAATATCTAAATGAAATAGTTAAAAAATATAAATAACCATAACTTAACCATAATTAATCGTATCACCGGATGTACACAAAACCACGTGATCGAAATCTAGGGGAATCAGAGTCGATTTACAATCTTAAAATTTATATATATAAAAAAATTATTTTTACTTAGATTTTAAATTTTCTAAATTAAGTAGGAAAAAAAGGAAAACGAATTTTGTCAGATAAATAGTAAAAAATCATAAATACAGTACATTTTCATGACAGTAATCAATAATATAAAATTGCATGATAAGCATTGATACATTTTATGCAACAATATAGCATATTTTTATGATAATAATTATGATAATAATTAATCAATATAAAATCGCATGGTAAGCATTGATATATAAGCATGATAAATAGAATATTTTATGTAACAATATTTGATTTTGATATTAATATTTTACTAACTAATATTATCAAATTTATCATAATAATCAAATAATGTCAATAATTATCAATAAATGATATCTTTTTTTTTCCACTAATTTCTAAATCCAGTAATTCATTGAATATTATACATGTATACAATTTGAAATATCAATACTGATATTTAAAAAATATACATTAATTTATTAATTTCATTGATTTAATTCATTATTTATTCATTATATATTTATTCATTTATGCTGGTGGTGTATTTATAAAATATTTATAGCGATTTATAAGCATTTTCATTATCGAAAACATACGCTAAAACAAAACGCTAAAAACATATTATTAACAATTTAATTCTATTTTAAAAGTTTTACTTTCCGAAATTATTTATAAAAATTTAAATTAGTTTAAAATTTACTTTTATAAAATAGTATTTAATATTTGTAATATTTATAATATTATTTTCAATGTCATTTTTAATTTTTTAAACTATGTATATATTTTTAAAGTTAATATAAAATAGAAAAAATACTTCGTATAGTTTAACACTAGGTAGAATAAATAAAAATTTATCAATTATATTTAGATTACAATTTTTAATTCAAATAGAACGACATTAAAATTAAAAATGGATTATTCGATTTTCTCTTACAAAGACAAATTGCACAATAACAATTTATCAGATTTTTATAATTTTAATATTAATAATATCAATAATTTTAATAATAATATTATTAATATCATCAACACTATAATAATTTGTTATAATATATATATATATATATATATACATATTATAATAATTACTATAGTATATATATAATAACACGTATACATAATATATATGTATATATGTGTATGTATATTTTTTATTAATCAAGATCTCTCGAACATTATTGGTAATCATAAATTATGACTCATCATTATACCAAGTGGAATATTGAAGTGGGGGAAACTTAAACGAATCTTTCCAGCCAATATTCTGCAGTTCTGAATCAGTGCTTCACAGTACTTACTTAGAGGTTACTTAACTTAAAATATCAAAGTTTCAATATTTTTTGTTATTAAAACAATGACTCTAGACGAAGTAATTATTTTTATTATATTTCTAATTACTTATTTTTATTTTAATGTTTTTTGAATATATTGTATAATATATAATATATTGTATAATATATATTGTCATATATTGTATAATATTTCTTGTATTGTATATTATTTTAATGAAAATTATTTTTTTATTTATGTGTTTTTTTATCAGAAATTTAAGAAAGCTGCAGAGGAGGTGAAGGAATTAAGTGCTCCAGCGTCAGATGCTGATCTGCTTGAACTATATTCATTGTACAAGCAAGCTACTATTGGAGATTGTAATACATGTATGTAAAACAATATAATAATCCATTTAAAAAATGATATTCTATTTTGTTATTTACTATATTATATGTTATAGAAAACATTATATCTGTAAATATTGTAAAAAATCCTGAAGAAAAGTAAACTGGTTAGACTTTGGACTTTGTTAATACTAAAGAATTCAATTTATATTCATTATATTCAAGGTTATTTTACTTTTATTTTGACTTTGATCTTTTTTTTAATTTGCAATGCTAATTATCCATTTCTAGTAAAAATTATATGCAAAAACTTGAATTAAAATTTGAATGAGTTATTTTTATGATTTCAAAATTTTCAAAATTCTATATAATATTAACTAACTATATAATATTATTTTTTCTTTTAAAGAATATTGTAATTTTATAGCTAAACCAGGCATGCTGGATTTTAAAGGCAAAGCAAAGTGGGATGCTTGGGATAAGAGGAAGGGTATGAGTCAAGATGCTGCTAAAGAGCAGTACATTCATAAGGTGGAAGAACTGATATCCATCATTGGAAAGAAGTAATTTGCAATGTTAAAAATTTATATAGAAATTTTTATCTAATTTTATCTTTTTTATATTCTTATAAATGTGCAATTTATTATATTTTATATCAGGGTATAATAGTTGCAAAAATGTTTAAATACTTTTTGAAATAATTATTTTGATATTATATATATAATTTCAAGATTTGTATATTGTATAGACAAAAATTATTATAAATATAATAATATTAAAAAGGAATTGATATATCGAATTGACGAATTAATTTTCTCGTGGTAGCTGAATTTATTTTGCTATCACTTTGATTAGCTATATACAACGTCGATGTTGTTAACTTGGAACAAGTCAACATATGCAGTATATGCATTATAATGTACTTAATACATATACACGATTTTTAATACCACATCGAAGCGTATAATGATGAAAATATTAAAAAAGAATATAATTTTCTCTTCATTAAACTTTTACATTGTTCACCTACTGTTTTTATATAAATTATATTCTAAATTTTGTTATATGAATATTGTAAATTCAGAAGTTGAGGAAAGAAGAAGAAATAAAGTGACAATTACTTTGATACAATATAACATTTTAAATTAACGTTAAACTTCCATATAATTGTTATTTTAAACATAAAAAGAGAAAAATCATCAGACAAGATATAATATTGAATATTGATAAAGTGTAATGAAATATATATTAACATACATTAATGATGTTTTTTTTCTCCACGTTTAACATTTTTTTGCTTATTATTATATACACATACACAAGAAACTAACTAAGAAAAGCAAATAGGATTACGACATTTAAATTGCTTACGAACATTTCCGCAACACAAAAACTTAGCCCTGTTTATGCGTCAATTTTGTTTACAGATTCAATTATAAAGAAAATGGAGCACATTTCTTCCATAGTGAATGCTTTACTGCATTTTAAAAATAAAAAAAAGGAAAAAATCTAATGTAGCAAAAACTGTCGTAATACAATTTTATCTTTTAAGAGCACTTGTTAGCAAATCGATCTTGATATTTAAAACGAATACGCATGATGGAACTCATTCATATGTGTATGTGTGTGTCCTATTCGCATAAAAATGAAATATGTGTATGTATAATACGTTAAATTCGTTCAAACTCAGTCGATGTGTATATATGTGTTCGAAATTCGCGCGACTTACTTACAAATAAAAATCTAGTAATTATAACTTACGATATAATGAATTAATCCTCTAAGAAATCTAGAATAAGCGAAACTTACCGTATTAAAAGTAAAACGCCAGATTTTGAACGGAAACGACGCGCTATCTATAAAACGCAACAGAATGTTCTGTAGTAACAACTTTTATCTGTTTTTTTCACAGAAAGCAGGGCCTCTTCTCTCTCTTTCATACACTCTTTCTTTCTCTCTCTCTTTCTCTCAATAGCGAACAAGAATTAATTAAACACACCACTTTCGATGCAAAATCTTACAATGAATTTTGCAGCGAATTTTTTATTGATCAAATCGAACATGTGTAGCTAGTCGAAGCTAAGCCACTTAAAAG